ACTTTATGAAAGGTTTCATAGGAGTTTACACTTCTGTGAGCCAAAGCAGACTTCACATAACTGAAACACGAGTCAAGGACAACATGCGACTTTCATTTTGACTTCAGAATTATTATTTTTTATTACAGAGTACACAATCAACAATTATCAAGAACAGTAAGAACAATACAGATAAAAACAACTGCAATTGACTGTTTTTAAGGTGAGAACACTAGAGGATAACTTCAGTCAGTTACACTCTTCAAACAAAAAATTTAGTACATAACCAGAAGTTTGAACCTGCACCAGCCATTCAGTCTTCTCATTTTTCTCTAATGGAAAATCTTCTAATTAAAGCAGTTTCCGAAAAACTGTCTTCATCCAGTGAAAACACTATCATAGTGTCCCTTTCTTTACAGAGGATGTTAGCATAAATATTGCTTACGGGAGAAGTACTTACCCATTTCTATTTGAAAAATCATGATCACAATATATTCCTTGTTTATTTCATAATTTTGACATCTCATTATAGAGAATGATAAAGTAAGACTGACAGCAAGTTTTGTTACTGTTAAATAGCAAAACTCTAGAAAGTATTCAGAGATCATCAAAATAACTAATCTAGGAAGACTGATACTTCTCCCATTCTTGGGAAGCAACAGAGCATTGGTGAGTGGTAGAATCTAGACTGAATCTCTTATTTCAAACAAGCTACACTCCTTTGATTTTGCAATTTAAGAAAAACTCCATATGATCTCTTACTATTTAACTGTAACTTATCCTTTTCTTTATAATTGCTTACATAGGAAATGTCCACTTCCCTATGAAACAGTGAAAAATACATACATAGACAGTACTAGCTAAAATGGGATGTCTATCCTAGTATCACAGGAACCAAGGGGCTGCTAAGAGTGAATAAGACCAGGTCTCATGCTAACATATGGAAGGGGCATATCCACAAAAGCCAACTTCAGCCTAGATGAGCAGGCTGGTCTTCCTTGTCCGCAGCATTAGGCTTTAGCCAAAGGCAACATTACTCTTGCAAATGATGTTTCAATGCAGGAAGCAGCTTTGGGCACTATCACCAGGGAGCTACTTTTCTGCAACTACTTTTCCTTGGATAGAGGTAACCTTTGGATATCCTACCAACCTTCAAGTCTTTAACTCTTTACAAATTAGAGTATTTTGCCTGTTCTGATTCTGTAACAGACTGCTTGCTATATTTATATAAGTTCATAACCCTGTCCAGTCAGGCATTTCTCCTCTTAATTGCATTTTATTATTTTCTTTGATTTCATTTGGGTTGGATTACATAATTCATGCTCCATAACTTTTACATCTGTTTAATATTTAAACATAATTTTCATGCCTACCAGTCAAATCATCCTTTATTCTTAATACCTTATTTTCTAAGTTCTTGCTCAGTCCAACTCTAACATAACTTAAGCTCACGTACTTTCAGACAATAAAAGAACTTAGCTTTAATCACCAGGTTTATAGGAAAAGATTTCTCCCATGCTCACAATTCAAAAAACTGTTTTGCATTTGATTATAAATGTAAGCCCATCCTAAACTTCTACAGAAGCAGCTGTGGTTTGCAATTAGTTTTACTTCAGTCCACCTGAAGATAACCTGCAAGGAATATGAAATGGCCTGCATGCCATGAGAAAGCACAGAATAAAGCCTGAATATAGACACATCACAACACAAAAGAATATCAAGTCCCTCATGAAGGCATCAAACTTACCAGTGTGTATAGTGAAGATTAGTAGAGTCTCCATAGAAATCTATTTTTTCCCCCCCACAAAGAAACTACCAGGTACAGAAAGTCATTCTTCTTAACACTTCCCCCTGCAGTAATTCTGTTCTGCATCAGCATTGGTATAAGGCCAACATTTTCTTTAGAGGACAATAATTTATCTGCATTTTACTGAAGACTGGCCTTATTCAATCAGGCCAAAGACACAGCCCACCCCCATATTTTGTCTCTAACAAATCTATGATCAGAGGTCTGAGGGGAGAATATTAGAAAGTCTGGAGAGTTACACCTCAAGATTTCCCCTGCTTTCAGTCTATGGCTTGTGTTCCTCTAAGCCAGAGATGGTGTTTTTACACCAAAACCCCTTTACAGACTCTTCCAGGAATTCTTCTACTGGATATTTGAACCTGTACAATCTTTCAGCAAGCACAGTGGTTTCACAGATCAACCCTGTACTATGTTAAAAATAAATGAATAAACAGAAAGTAACCCACACCATCACAAACCACACAGTTACTTATTCTGAATACGTCACATAGCAATTTTATTTCATACCTGCTGGGTCTTGTCCTATAACAGACCGTTATTGATCATTCCCTATTGATCATTCCCTATTCATCCCATTACAGTTAGGACTGTACATTATCATATCCACCTTCAGTTTTTTCTTTGCTACACTGAAGATTTCGAACCTACTTGTGCTTTATTATTGCCATTCTTCTATCATTTCTATTACAAGTTTTCTGGTTTGTTTTCGCAAGGGCACCAAAACTGCACCCAAAGTTGCAAGCATAGGCAACGTATACTGGCATAACAGATTCCTGTCCTGTTGGTTATTCATTCCTAATACTCAATACTCTATTTTTTTAATCAGTTCTGACAGTCCATCATTTAATTGATGTCTGCAGAGAGCTTGCCAGAGTGTAACCCAAATCTCTTGCATGAGTGAGAACCAAGCTCTAGAAGCTATAGCTAGCTTACAGATTCAGTGACACAACAGCAGGATTGTTCTCCCCTGCAAGCATTTCTCAGTGATATTAGCAGGAAATTATATCTACTACTTCATTCCCAGTTACTAAGTATCACAAGATCCCTCTTTGGCTCTTCATAACAGGCTTTCTTTTTTGCTACTCTAACTTAGAATCATTCTCCAAAAGCAAGAACTTAGAATCATTCTCCAAAATCACAGATGCTGAACAGTGCTAAAGACCCTAGAACACATCTGCACAAAACTGCACTGGTAATCTCCAATTTCTTGGGGAAAAAAATCATTTACTTTTATTCCATCTTGTTAGTCCATGAGAAAGCTTTCCCTTTAAATCATAGCAGGCTGATTCTGCTAGGCATCTGTGACTAGTCCTCAAGAAGCTTTTTGAAACCCAAGAATATCACACTGGCTAGATGACTCAATCACAGGCACAAAGAACATCCAAGAACTCCAGGTCCAAGAACTCCAATAGTTCCAAGAGGCAGATCAATTATGGCCATGCTGACTCCTTCCCATTATATCAAATGTAAAATTACTGGATTGATGGATACATTACAGCTGCCAGCAAACTGACCAGTATAAATGCTATTTATACTTGGCTTGTTCTTTCCTACAAGCTTCCTGAAAGTCTTCTTAAAAACTGGCATCATATTTGCCACTTTTAGTACTATGACACTAGAGAAAATCAGTGGTTAAAAACTCTTTATCTGGTCAGTGATTCACACCTTGAGTTCTTCCAGAGCTTTTGATCTCAGGTCTTGGCACAATTAATTTTATTATTTCAAAATTTTAGAAGTGTTTTGACTGGAAACAGATTCCCCAACAGACCTTTCTGCTTCTCTCCCATCAGAGAAGAGCTGCAATTCCAAACTCCTACAGTGTGCATGGATGTGGATGATCCAGTCTTTCAGCTACCATGCAGTCTTCAAGCACTTTCAGTTATTAGGCATTAAGCATCTTTCTATTCCTTAGAACCTATTCTACCTTGTTGCATATCTCCCCCCTCCTTAAACACTTTAAAAACAAAAGGAGTAAATGTCTAGAGTAGTAGTTAGATGCCATGTATTTGCTCCAAGTCTATAATTCATTTATCACTACACTGACTGCAAGCACTTTGGCTGTTCCTTTTACCAGGCTTCATTTCATAAGCCTCCTTGTAAGTGTCCCACTAACTACTGTCTCTGTGATAGCTCCACACTTCAGAGCCAGAAATGCCTGTTCCCTCATCTTCCAACTTTCTAGCATTGATACAGAAAAGTTCCTAATTTGAAAGAGGGTTCAGCTACCACTGTGCAGAATGCTGCCACAGGGGTCTTGATTTTTGACCTTCAATCCATCTTTGCATCCAGCTCTATTTTCCTAGTCCTCCTCTACTGCCAGAGTCTCTCCATCAGTTTTGCCAAGCTAAATCAAATTATCTGAACTTTTATCAGCCACCTTTGAGGGTTATTTAACATCATAAATCCAGTCAGTAAAGCTCCACTAAAGTTCTCCAACCTTAACAGCTCTTGCCATCTGCAGCTAACACCATGCAAGGGTATTCTTAGAGCCAGAGGATACTTGACTGTTACCCAAGATCCAAGTCTCATCCACAGCATGGAATTTCAGGATCACTTCCTTACAAGCCTGACACTTTCCTGCAACAGGACATCCTTACTCTACCCAGCAACAGCCAGCTTAGAGATACCAATAGGATCATACACTTGGAGCTCTGCTTGACAAGCACCAGGGGAAGGACACCTTCCTTACACATGCTCAGTGTTGATTACATGACATACTCTTGCTTCTTCCCAAGAGCTCCCTTCAGTTACAGGATCTAAAAAGGTATCATGCAGTGCTGCAACTAGTCCCTTGGTCTGCAAATGTATTTATCATTTGATATTAAGGGTGTGCTACTGTTTTGACTGGAAACCTGGTGTCCATCTCAGTGATCAGAATGCAAGCTAAATGGTCCCAATCACACTTTTTTTAATTAAAAAAACACACAAAACATACTACCCTTTGGTTCTTGTACCAGTTTGTGCCTGTTAAGGTTAAAAGGGAAGAAAAAACAAACAAAAACCCACACTAAACTATGGGCCCAATAAATATTTAATGAAAACCTGAAAAATGTAAGACAAATCTATACAACTACTAAAAATACAAAGTTTATTTTTCTTATGTAAAACAGATAATATACACTGATAGATTATACCTGTCAGGCAGTCATGCTCTAACACACCACACCCAACTTCAGGATAGTGCAAAATAACCACTTGTACAGTGCTTAAACTGTTGTTTTACAACAGAACATACAGCCAGCCATGACTTCCAGTTCAAGAGGGATCATAGAACAGTTTCCTGTCAAGACAGAGCATCTGTAGCACCTGTCATGGAAAAAAATATTTAAATACATCCTGCAACAAATAAGTGTTATTTTATGTAAACAAGACTTGCTGTTTCAAAATGGGTTCTTACATAATCAGATTTCCATTTTAGATTTCTCACTATGAATTCAACTTTCAATTACATGAAGTCTGCTCTATTTCCTAAGTTATAATGTACATAACCTCAAAACTAAGGTTTTGGAACCTACCACCACCACTGCTGCTGCTGCCGCCGCCTCTATGGACAAGATGATTAAGCATCTGTATTTTCTTCCAAAATATAAGTTGTATTGTACAACAAAACAAAATTTAATACTGAATAGCTGATTTCTGCTACAGGCTTGATTCAGTTGATAGAAAATTGTTCTCTCCCACTATCAAATCCAATTTACCCAGTAGAGTGCAAATACACAAGATACTTAGTAATCTTCAGTAATGGCAGGGAAACTCATCATAAATTGCTGAATGCTATGAATCATCTTGTGAACACATAACTGTTATATACTGCAAAAGGCACTTTAACAAGTACTTTCATTCATTTATGTCAATACTTCATAATTAGCACAGAGAAATGTCTGTAGATTGAACTCTTGAATATGACACTGCTTAGTTACCAGTTTCCTTTTATTTAATATTTTGGTGAATACTTGATGTAATGAAAGACCCCATTAAAATTTTGTACCAATGACACATGGCATTTTCATTATCCCATTCTAAACATGTTAGCACAAACTAATGAACTCAGTGCTCAGAAAAGCCATAAGCATATGCTGACCTGAACTATGCAAGCAGTTCAAATGCCCTGAACAGGGTTATTCACATAAAATTTCAGAGTATACTTAACTGCTTTCCTCAATTTGCAATTTAAAAAAAAAAGCCAGAACAACACTACAGAGCTACACAGACTTTATACAGCTTTTTATCTCACCCAGCTATACCTTAGCAGGTTCCCCACTCACAAATAGCAGGTGATGAGTCTCACAGCCACACAAAACATGTTTGAAGAACTCTTATTTGCAGAACAGTTCCAAAGATCTGGACTCTGACCGTTTTTCAGGATATTCTACACAAACATGAAAGCACTGGGACAGCACACATGCCTCACTCACAGATCTGTCCTCCTATTCTTGAAGGCAGACAGCCCAGACAGCTTGCAGCTCCAGGGTTTGGATCCCCAGAAAACTATACCTCAAATGCAATTCCCTGAATGTTTTCAGATTGAAAGGAAATAAATTGCTTGGATTACAAAATCTCATGTACCTGTAACACTATAATTTGAATTTATACATTATAATTGGTAATGGGACAACTGGTCATACTTGATGTGATGTATGCTCTTGGCACACTAGCTGAAATAAATCGTTCTATCTGCAGATGTGCTTTACTTTCCAATTGAGGCTAACTAAAAATGATCCCAAGTTGGGCTACTCAAGGCAGACTGCACAAAGCAACTTGGCCATTTGTGAACACTGGTGGTTATGCTATGTTTTCTGAGAAAGAATTTAAACGTTTAGATAAAAGTCCTTCTTGGACTAGAATAGAAAGTCAAATGCGTATATATTAAATACAGTAGCAGATGCATTTTTATGCTTCTTACCAGGATAATCTCCCACTCACACAATTCCTGAAGACTCTCAAACTCTAGCTCAGTTTGTCCTGTCTTCCATGGCTATATAGAAATTCTGGAATGGGAACCCATAGACTCAATTCTACAGGCTGTGCATATGTATTTACATATAAACATATAAAAAAGTCTTCCTTAAACTAACGCTGTTAATCAATGAAGAAAAAAACATCAAGCAATCCATTTCCATTTGCTTTGAAAAAAGCTAATCATGAACTCTTATGTGCTGCTTACTTTTACGTATTTTCACATCTGAATCAGTGCATTACAAAATATTTCCATCTTATAACTTTATTTTCTTTTACATCATACATGCTTCACAGTGGGAGAGGTACTAGAAATAGCATCTCAATTTCACCTGTGTAACTCTCCTCATATTTTGAGTTTTGAAAAGTGAGAAGTACTAAAAGACATCAAAATACCCAGACCCAGGAACTTTCTACTGTAGCTCAAGTTTCTCCATTTTAGCTATAACTGGATGTAGGGCATACTGCTAGTTTTATTAATATGAAGCTTTTAGTTACTCAAAGAGAATCTAATTGTTTTACATCGCATTGCCCCACTTCTTTATAACTAAAATAAACCTTGGAAAAGCACACACGCTTAAGGTGAACAGCAGGGACCACCATTACATAACGCTTTAAGAGTTCCGATTCGTTTCAGTTATCAACCATAGACTTTCCATGACATTTTGATTAGGATCTCAGTGTGAATACATTAAGTGATAATTGGCCCAGAAATACCTACTGAGCCCGGAATGCAAGAAGACAGTAAATACTGGGAGCACCATAGGTAGCTGTATGAATCACATCACATACCTGTGGTTTTTCAGGTTCCTGTGCTTAGTCATGAGTACACTCTCTTCATTTTCTCACACACAGAAAATAATTTCTGCCAATTTTTTGTTCTTGGCTTCTACACTGCCACCTGTAGTCATACAAGAGAATTAGCTATATTTTATGCTGCAGACCCTATTACCACAGTATTTCAGCTCACTTGTTTTTCCTACACAGCCATTCTATAGTGGTTCCCTCTAAAACAAGCATTAGCGTATTTTAATATTTACACTAAGTTATTGGGGTTTTTTTTTATCATAACTTCCAGGAATTAAAATGCAAAAAGTTAATCTAACCCAAGAAAGCACTTAAACCTCTGAAAGATTGATAATGGCTTTACAGCCATATCTTTGCAACTCACTGGACACATTATAACCTTGGCAAAGCAGGGCAACTTCTTAAGCAAGAATGCAAGGAGCATTTAATTATTTGATAAATGAAATAAAAAAAAACACCAAAACTTAATTTGATTTCTTCTTCCATCTGAAAAGTGAACAAAACTTTACAGGAACAACTTGCATGCTTGGCTTGGTAACCTTACATATATACCAGAGATTTAAGCGAGCTGGTATTTCTAAAGGACACCTCGTGGATAAAAAGCCTTCTCCGACTTTTTCCTTAGGCACAGCAGGAGCAGCAGCCCCGCTCCAGGCTCGCTGCGGGATTAGGCGCTCACCCCAGCGCAGCGCGGGCGCCGCACACACCGCGCCCGGGGGGTCTCGCGTGTCTCGCCCGCGAGGGGAAAGCGCCAAGGAGCAGGGGAGAAGCGGCACCGTCCTCAGAAGGCGCTGGGCGCTCGCAGGAGGGGCGCTCCGCGCGCGGACAAGCCCACTCCCTCACGAGCGGTTTTCCGAGAGCGACTTTTAAAAAATAATAATAATTATTAAAAATAAATAAAAGCGGCAAGCGCCGCGCGCGCCCGCCCGCGCCTCGCTCCCAGGCGCGCCCACGGCGCCGCCAACGCGCCCGCTCAGGTGCGCGGCACCCTGCCCGCCTCATCCTCCTCCTCGCCCTCCGCGGGGGCGACCGCCACGCGCAGCCCCCGCGCGGCCACGCGCGACGCCCGCAGCCCGCGCAGCAGCCGCGCACCCACCTGCGCCCGCCGCGCTCCTCGCGCTGCCGCAGCGGCGGCGGCTCCTCCTCGGAGCAGAGCGGAGCGCCGCGCAGCCAGGGGGAGCCGGTGCCGCCCGGCATTCCTGAGGGCGACTGGGCGGGAAGGAGGAGAAGGAGGAGGCGGCCCGGCGCTCGGCACAGCCTCCCCAGCGCCTTCTTCCCGCCGCCGGGGCCGCCTCCCGCCGCCAGCCCCTTTTATGGCGGGGCCGCCGCTCCTGCCGCCCCCGCCGCCATCGCCGAGACACCTGTGGGCGCCCGCCCGTCCCGCGGGGGCTCCCGCCGGGCCTGGGCAGCGCGTGGGTCCTGCACGCCGGCCCCCTGGAAAAATATCCCCCAAAATCAATAATCCGCATATTCGGGAATCTACTGGAAAGCGCACACCGCCCCCCCCGCAGGCTGGCTCTCGTGTGTGCTGAGCGGCGGCCACGTTGGCTGGCGGCCGCCGGCTGCCAGGGAGGCCACGCGGTGCCCGCGGGTTCTGCGGCACCGACTAGTAAATGAAATACAAATAAGTACTAGAAAAACAAGCGAAAACCCGCATCCGCATTGCAATGAAAACTGCAGCGGGACTTGAGGAACTGCGGCACAGCCTGGGCTCTGCCAGGTGGTCCCTTGTTCCCTGCCGTTCGCTGGAGGCATGTCAATTTGGGAAGCAAATTCTCTATTTAAGTTGTTTTTTTATCAAATGGGTTCCCCTGTGAAAGTGGCACTGAAAGAATACGCTTGGGTGATCCAGCAGCCAAAAAAGAGGGCTAGGAGAGCTTTAGTGCGTTACTGCAGAGACATATTGACTGATACAGGTCTATACTTGACTTTGCAAAAACAAAAACCATTTTCATCAGTCCCCATCACAACAATAAATTCCCCATCAGCTAGGACAGTCTTGATGTTTTTCACATGCTTTATTCAACACCTATATTTTCAGGACCTAAACTTTGAAAGTAAACCAAAACACCATGTATAAATGATGGTATCAAGCTGTATGTTGCTGATACTAAGAAATAAGCTACAAAAATAAACTGACTTGCCATTGTCTAGTCTTCTGCTAAATTAAGCTTATTCTCAGTTCCTCAGAAGTCTCAGAAGTGAGATACTGAACTATTGCCAACCCTCTGAATATTTAATGCTCACTTAGATACTCATTTAGTGATAGCTAAGCCAAAAGCCTCTATGTAGTAAAAGCCTGTATAACAAACATTATATTGCTTTAATACCAACATGGGAAGGTGCTTACTTGAAAGAAGTTTAAACAGTTTCACAGAACTGGTTGTTCTGTCAGTATTCGATCATTCACTCATAGACACAAATAATAAACGCTGATACCGTGTCAGCATAATATCTGCTGATACTATTTACGAGCTAATCAGAATGTGGAAAGATCAGAGCTAAAATAAGAGGGAAAAAAAAGCATAAATAATCTTATAGAGAAGAGGATAAAAAATGATGCATGCATTTAGAAGAAACACTTGACTCCAGCCCAAAAGATGCTTCTGGTCTTTCATTCCAAAAAAGTGGCATACTGGTACAATACTTTAGAAGACAATGTGAAAGCTTTAAATTTGCCTTTCATAATGGCTTACAAAGACAATTGTTAAACATAAAGTGCTAGCTTTTATAGGTAATAGGCAATAATATCAGAATATTTCATCTTTAGACTTAAGGTTTACTCTCTTGATCTTTGAAAATATAATGCAAGAGACATTCAAAATGTGATAGATTTTCTTTATTCAACTCAATTTTGATTACATTTAAGTAGTACCTATCAAGGCTTAGAACACACTGAAATTCCATAGTTATCTAGAAAGACATTTGCCAGTGACTTCAAGGACTGGCTTCTTGAACTGTCTCTCTTCAACAATGGATCATCAATAGGGCAACACTGACATGCCTCCAGCCTAGAATTGTTTTCCGCTAAATCCTCCTTGCACATGTTGTTTCATCTTGCAGGTGTCTTTCCTATAACTGTTACAAAATGTATTCAATTCTAGAAGAAAGTTCTTATCTTGTTCATTGAAGCATGTCCACTGCATAGGATGTTTTTTTGCAAAAAAAGAAAAAAAAAAATTTTTTTCATGTCTTACATAAAGCTGCCCTTAAACCTAGCCCATCAGGAGAGAAATGCTCTCTTTATTCTGATTTTCAAACCAAGAGAGTAAACATTTGGTCACTTCAGAATGGATGCTAGACAGATGCTGTCCTATTTGTCTTGAGTTTGTGAGGAATGGAATGGAATACAGAAGGAGGAATGGAATACAGAAAATTAGATGGGAGGCATGCCCAGAATCTCTTTTATATTTTCCTCCCTTTTCTCACCTTGCCCACTACTGCCTTTTTATTTATTTATTTATTTATTTATTTATTTATTTTCCTCCCCCTAGGAGTTTGGGTTTGGAGCAATAAATTCCGTTGTTACAATAACTCATGGACAAACTGAACGTCAAGTGAAATATAGTTCTTCCAAATCTGACAGAAAAACTCATAGGATGAAAACACCCAGAATATTAAACCCACTTCATTTATACTATGCTCCAAAAAGCATTACTTGTCACTTTCCCCGTGTTCCCAGAATATACTCAGCAATTGCTAGGTGGCTGTAATAGTGAAAATTTCCAGTTTTCCAGATGATGAGCTCTGACTCAGTACTCCTACTGACAGAGCTCAATGTGCCATCCATTTACTTTATGTGGTGGTAAATCGAGGCTCTTTTTCCTTCCACCACAGCATGTTAAAAACAGTTTTGTGCCTTCTTTGAGCACCATGTTCTTCCTAGCCCACCTAGCCCAACCTCAGACCAGGCAGAGGCATTTCTACCCTAAAGTTTTTCTAGACCAGCCCCTTATTTCATTGCTGCCCAAGTGTACCTGCTTATCTAAGGACACAGGCGGTCTGTATCACCCTAGATGCTGCTGCCCCCTCTGCCCAGTCTTGACTGTCCTCTATTTTATTGGCTAAATAAGTCTCAACAGCTGCCATAGAGCTCTTTCACTTTGTGTCAAAGTAGTTTCTAGAAATTACTGCTGGAAAAAATAATGTCTTGTTCTATACATGCAAAATCCCTCAGAAGAGTCAGCGATGCGATGAAGCAGGTTTTGCTCTATTTAAAATCAAAGGAGAGTCGTCAGTCTATATAAAACCTCAAAAAAGGTTTTTGTAATAAAGCTAACAGTTATTAGGGAAGAATAGCAGTGTGGGTCCCTTAATGTTTACAAATGAACACACACAAGTCAAAGGCAAAGTTAGAATAGCTCATGATGATGGTAACTATAAGAAGTAGAAAGGAGATAAAACAGCTTCATGACTAAATTTAACAGTGATGTATGTTTTAACAGGAAAGCCATTGAATGCTATTTATTGCCCATAGTAGCTATGGAAATATCATATAAAACATTTAACATGCAAGAATATTATGCTAATGAGAAACCTGTGTTAAATAGCCCTTCTGAACTATTCTCTGTCAAATATATTACAAGTAGCTAGAAAGTTATTCTAATTCTGGGCATTCATCTTGCCTTGATTTGCTATGCACGGTGAAAATCAACACAGTCCAAGAAGGTACTTTAATATTCTGAGCCTCTATGAGAGGTCGGCAAAATTCCCTCGTGGGTATCAGAGACAGAAGAAACATGGACAGAACTACATCAGTCATGAGTGCAAAAGATGCTTTAGTTCAAAGTATTAATCTGGTATTAACATTTACTTGGAGATATTAATTTGCTAATAAGCAATGAAATTCACCCCAGTGCACTGCAGAAGTGGGGAAGACATTAAGTTCCTTGATATGGGATCCAAAAGACAGAGGGGAATCATCTAGGAGTGGGAAGGAATGATTCGTGGTGGTAATGGGAGAAGGGTGGCCAGACTGCTACGAAGCTTGGAAGATGTTATAATCACACATGCTATGTGCAAATAATATGTGCAAATTGTACTGCAGAGGTAGTGCTTCCATCTAAGACTAGAAAACCCTGGAGAAAAAG